CGCCTTCCCCCGGGGTGTTTCCTTTTCGACTAGCCTGCAACACCATGGACAGTGACTGTCCTCTCCCCGGTTCTCCAAAGCCTCCCCCAGCCCAGCCCCAGCCCCAGCCCCAGCCCCAGCCAGAAAACCCCCAGTAGAGCTAGATCAGGGCCTGTCCTGGGCCTGCAGACCCCTCTCTGAGCCCAAGGAAGGGACAGGCATCCTGGATCTGCTCCCTGAGCCCAAAGACTGGCCTCTCATCAGCCACACTCACCATCCTCTCTGTAGTAGTCTGGCTGTGTGGAAGAGCCCAACCCCTTTATGTTTCAGCCTTATCACCTGCAGGTCCAAATAAGGAGGGGGCTCAGGACAGGCCCAAACTTGGCAGCCCCTGTTGGGGCCAGGGGAGGCCCAGGCCCAGGCAGATTCCAGTCATGTTCCTGTGACCTTCACATGTCCTCCGTGGACATCCTAGTGCCTGTGAATCATGGTAGGACCGGGTGCACTGCCCCCAAGCAGAGCGAGCCCCATGTTCTCACTGTTGTATGTGCCGAACAAATGCCCATTTCCCCCACGTGCCCATCCATCATGCTGGCCCAGCCATAGACCTATCCAGTTCAAGAGGATTGCTGCAGAGGGCTGACCCAGGGCCTCACAGGTGTGGGAGGGCAGCAGGTTCTGTGGTGCTCTCTGGTCTGAGGTCCTAGGGATTCCCAGAGGTTGTGGTAGACCTCAGCCCTGGCTCTGGCCTCTGACAGAGGGACATAAAGCAGCCCTGAGCTGGCTGTGACCCCTCACAGAACCATTTGCTTTTGAACAACCTGAGAGATCACTGACCGCTTTCCCCCTCCTGGGTGCCTGCCCGGTAGAAGCCATGTTCTCAAAGGACCCTGACCTGTGTAATGCTGTTTTGCATAAGCCTAGACTCCTTGCACCCCCTTGGATCTCCCACAGAGGCTGGGAACAGGGCCCTCACGAGGTACTGAGCATAGACTGAAGAGCCCAGTGCCCTCTGCTGTTCGGCAAAGGCACAGCAAGGGGCTGCACAGCAGGCGTGGCCCTGCTAACTGGGCTTGCTGCCTAGGTTCGCTGCCTCCCAGAACATGGCTGTGCAAGGCTGCCCCAATCCCTCCCAGGGGGACAGACCCGTCTCTACCAGCGCCAGCTTGGACAGTGCGGGACCATCAGTGCCCCTTTTGTGTAACAAGTATTTAGCTCTTCTTTATTATCTGGAAATGAAGCTCTGTTTCTGGATCTCAACTCATTCATTTCCATTCAGATACCTAACCTACCTACATGAAGAGTTAAAAACAACACAGCATCCTAAACTGTAACACGAAGGAGCAGTTTCCATTAGAATGTGTTCCAGTATGTGGGTGCTCAGCCGCCAGTCCATCAGAGCTGACAATGGAGCAGGTGGTGCTTATGCTAACTGGAGGAGTTAACTCAGAACTAGGAAGAGCAGAGCAATCACAGGAGACCAGAGGAGGAGCAGCATGACTCCCTCTAACCATAACCTTGGGGGGGAGCTCTGAATGAAATACAACACAGTTTCAGATTTGCTATATAGTTTGTGTGTGTGTGTGTGCCAGAGCGCACATGTGCTCACCAGAGAGAGAGAGAGAGACAGAGAGAAAGAGAAGAGGAAGCACCCTCCATGGGGCATGGTCACATGGCAATCTCTTCTCTGTTTCTTCTTCCTTTTGGAATTGTGGGCACACACACACACACACACTTGATGTGTTTCTCAAGCTGATGGGTCTGGGACCCAAACCACACAGTCAGGCACATGGGACCTGGCTGCCTTAACCACCCAGCCATGAAGTCAGCCCTAGGTAGTTTCTCTCACTAAAAAATGAGTGTGGGGTGGCCCAGGAACCTAGTAGTTACGGGAGCTGTATCCCACAGGGCTGACTGAAATTCAAGTTCCAGCTGTGAAGGTTTGAAAAATACGTTGAGTGCATGTGAACGTCCAAAATCCTGAAAAGATGGAGAAACAGAGAAGAGACTGTGTGAGACCATACCCCGTCGGGAGTGTTTTTCTCTCTCTAGCTCTCTAGTGAGCACACAAGCCCTTTGGTTATATAAAAACAAATGAATATGCATTAAAATTATATAAATACATTGGGTCTTCAAAAAGTTATTGGAAAATGGAATTAAAATACCAGTTTAGGGGACCAGCAGGTGGTGTGGTGGTTAGGGCGCTGGACACTCCCATATGGCTGACCATGGTTTGAGTCCTGGACCTGGTGACTTGCGGTCTTGCTTTCCCTCTCTCTCTCTCTCTGTCTCTCTCTGGTCAAATAAAAAAAAAAAAAGAATGAATAAATAAATAAAATAAAATAAAATAAAATGCTTTTTAAAAAATATCAGTTTAGGCCAGTCTGTTGCATGATGGTTGGGGCAGCTGGATCCACATGGCTGATCCTACAGTTTGAGTCCTGGACCCAGCAGTTGAAGAAACATGCTGGGGTTTTGTTTGTTTGTCTGTTGGAGAGGTTTTTGCTATAGGGTGCATGTGCTCACCAGAGAGACAGAGAGACAGAAAATGAGAAATCACCCCCCCCCCCCGCCCCCCCCGCAGCGGGGCATGGCCACTCCGTAATCCCTTCTTCTCCATTCTCCTCTCGGGATCTTGGGCATGCATGCACACACACCCAGAGTATGTTTAAGCCACCGGGCCGGGACTCAAACTGCAGTTGACTACGTGGGAGTCCAGTCATTACACCAACATAGCCATTACACCAACTGCTGGTCCTGAAACATGTGGGGTTTGTGTGCACACACATGCCAAAATCCCTGAGAGGAGAGATGGAAGAGAAGGGATTACAGAATGGCCATTCTCTGTGGTGGGAGATTTTTAACCTCCACCCCCTAGCTCTATTTCTCTCTGGCAAAATTTTTTAAAACTATGAACTTATCTTGGAACAGAAAAAGAAATTTGAAATCTGTGTATAGCTCTATCACATGAATCTTCTACAACTATTGGAAGACCCCTCGTGTGTGTTTATCTGTAACTGTGTTTATGCCACATAAAGACAGCATTAGGCCCTGTGTTTGGCTAACCCTAAATAGTCATTTCATCCATGGAACATGTGGGGGGACCCTAGAAATAGTGTAGCCTCTTTATCTTTGGCCATTAGACACTGTCACAACCTAAGCGGCTCTGAGATCAGCCTGCAGCAGGACTGCAGCAGATCTGAAGTAGGACTTATCCCCCTTCGCATGCTGGGCCAGGCCTGGCTCTCTCTTCTGTACGCATTCCGCGGGCAAGCAGTGTGCTATCAGTACTATGCCCGCCCCCTGTCGAGCCTTGTCGCCTGTTCCAGCTGGTCTGTCACTCTTCACTCTCCTGTGTGCTGGTAGAGAGGATGGCAGACTCCAAGATGCATTGAGGCCTCCATAGTTTCTGTTCCCATGTGATGAAGCCCCTTCATGCACTGTCCCCACAGTCCTTATGCACAGAGTTCAGAACAGTGTTTGAATCTCTTAAAGTCTTTAATTAAAAAACCCTGGAGTCCCAGGTTGACATGGAAACAGGGGCATGGCCTCTGGTGAGGATAAGAGGGTGGATCTGGGGACCCCCTGAATGCTGCTCTGGGTTTCTTCCTGGGCTGTCCATGGGGTGCTCCCAGTCTGCCTATGGGGCAAGGGGGGCCTTCTCCCTTTTGTAGGCCTGTTGGGGCAGAGACTTGGGGCTCTGTCTCCTGTACCTCCTGGTGGTCCACCCAGAAGCATGACCCACTCAGGGGTGCGGTGTGGAAGGGCAAGGCCTGGGGTACCTGGAAGTCTGGGAAGTCCATCCCATTGTCCCCCGCCCACCACCCCTGGGTCTCTGGAGCCACAGGCTAGAAAATAGCCAGACTAGGGTGATCAGCAGCCCAAGGGGCCCAGGTCTGGGTTTGCCTCCCTAGGAAAGGTGAATGCCCAGAGAAGCCAAGCCACAGCAGCCTTGGAGCACCCCTCTCCCAGCAGAGGCCTAGGCCCTAGCTCTGAAAGGCAGGAAGCGCTGGACACAACCAAGTCCTTGTGAGCAACTCCCTTGGTTACTGAGTTCAGTAGGAAGGAATCCTGTTCCAATCCTCCTCACCCCCACCCCTTGTGCCCTGGGGGAGGGAAGAGGCCTGCTTGGCTCTGGTCCACCCCATCTTCCAGGGGTGGTGGTGAGACTGAAGCGTTGGGGTCCTTCCAGGCGAGGCCTCCTGCCCTCAGCAGACTGGGATCACCTGTGGGAGCGCCCTGCCCTCGCAGAGCGGGGTTCCAGTGGTGGCTGAGCTCTCTGCCTTCCTTCGTCCTCTGCCCTCACTGGCCCAGCATGCAGGCCTTTTTGCAGGCCACAGCTGAGACCAGGGCCGCACCCCGGCCACTGCCTTCCTCCGACTCAATGAAGGTGATCTCGCAGCTGGGCGTCAGCCTGCGCACGCTGGCGTGGAACCGCTCCTTGAAGCTGGACAGGGGGAGCAGGCTGCTGTTGTCCCTCCCTGTGTGCACAGACCGCGCCCGGCCTCGCCCTGCCCATCCTCCTGGACCAGTCCCACTAGATGAGGATGCGGCTGCCCTTCCCCCTGCATGTGGACCCGGGAGACAGAAGGTGGTCACGAATTCCCGGGCCTGGGCGCCCCGCGAGGGCTCACCTGGGGTGCAGCTTGTACACTGAGCCGTCCACGCCCACTGTGATGCGCATCACATCCTCGCTGCGGCTCTCGCGCATGCGGTTGATAACACCTGCCAGCCCGGCCGAGCACATGTGCGCGGCGCGCGTGGACACACTCTCGCAGGCGCGGCGCACGATGTCGCAGTCGGCAGCGGAGGGCCGCAGCCCCAGCGTGCTCAGTATGTTGTGGATCTGCTTGCGGTCGCCAGAGTCGCTGCGGGGCGAGTGACTGAGGGTGGCTCCGCGTTCTAGCCAGCCGTCCCCCTAGCAGCAGCCCCTTTCTCTCCCCGGAGAAGTAGGGGCGACCCTGCGCACCTGAACCTTAGAGTGTTTGAGATTGGGATGTGGGGCGGGGACGAGTCCAGCAGCAACCTGGCCTGGACAATACTGTCCCCCTGAGCCAAGGTCTGCGCTCCATCGTGGAGGCGACAGTGCCGTGCATTGGCAGGTATGTGAAGTGAGATGGCGTCCACTGCGGGTGGTGAGCCACGAGAGGGAGAGAGGGAGAGGGATGCGTGGGCTGGACCCCGTCCCCTGCACCACGTTCTTACACCAGCCTGGGCCTTGGCATCTCGACACCGCCCC